ATGTCAAAAATAAATGTCATATATTTCATACCGACATTTACGTAAATGTCATATATCTCATACCAATATTTACCTAATTATCGAAAATAAATGTCATATATATCTCATACCGACATTTACCTAAATGTCATATATCTCATACTCACATTTACCTAAATGTCAAAAATAAATGTCATATGTCTCATACTGACATTCACCTAAATGTCAAAAAATAAGTGTCATATATTTCTTATCGACAATCACATAAATGTCAAAAAATAAATGTCGTAATAATCTTACCAACATTTACATATATGTTGCAAAGTAAATGACGCAAATTCTTTTCAACATTTACCTAAATGTCACAAATTCTTCCCGACAATTACCTAAATGTTGAAAAAATCCCCGACACAAAAATTTATGACATTTGGTCCAAATGTAAAATAAATGTCGGTAAACAAATTTGTGACATTTAAACATCATAATATGACATTTAGAAAATGTCGTTATATCTCCACTTTCTTGTAGTGATCTAATGCAAATGAGTATGAATGAATGATTGTATGCCATAAATCAACACTTGATTGTATGATTATGAGAATGTACATTGTGATTGTGATTGTGGCTTTTTGAAAGGATCGGGTGTTATGTTCCAACACACTAACTCAGATTAGATTTCACGTACCGACTTACATATTGGAACGGGTGTCACGTTCCGACACACTAACTTGGATCGAGTGTGACGATCTGACACACTAACGGTTTGGGTATGGGTTTCATGAGAGGACCATTGACTTGTCATATATGTGTATTATTGAGAACGTGGAGTGCTACATTGCTCCTGAAAAGATAACTGATACTGTATATGTTCGGTATATACGTGTTTACTTTGTTGTGACTGCTTGTATATGTTTCACTTACTGGAATAGCCATGTGATCCTACCAGTACATTGTGGTTATGTACTGATACTGCACTTGCTCTTTCTTTGTTGAGTACAGGGCATCTTCAGGTGGATACTGACAAAGCTCGTTTAGGAGATCAGTGAGCAAGTTCAGATTCTAGGGTGAGCCATTTCTTTCAGGCTGCCATGTGTCCTCTATGTGTTAGTCCACTCTTTTCGGACTCAAACTTTCTAGTTATACTTACTCGTATGTTTAGTTTGGTTGTACCCATTTTCCATAGACTTGTTGAACTTTAAATTTTTTGGTACATTGAATTTCATATTCTAAGGGTGTTTTCCGCAATGTTTTAGTAACAATTTGTTAAACTTTTGGAGGTTATGGGAACTACACTTTATTTCAACATTTAAACCTGCTTCTGTATCTTTAAATGTTTAGTTCATGGGTTAGCTGATTAGTATTAATGGTTCTCCTGGGTTCCAATCATGATGATCTGGGGGTTGTGACACTGAACTAGTGAATCTAGTAACTACTGTAAATAATGACTCTGCTGGAAGTAAGCTAGATGGAACCAGCAGAAGAAAACCAAGCTGGTGAAAGTACTGGCCAAGGCTTCGTTCTATTGATTGGACAAACAAATTGGATTGTCTAGAAAAAACCAAATCTTATAGTCTACTTCTTCTTGGTGTTAAAACCAATTACGCATCTTCAATTTTGAGGCATGAGAAAATAGAAGAATTAAGGATCATGATGCTCAAATTGGACTTGCCAATGACTTATTGGTTCAACTTATAAGATATCTTTTATTAGTTTATTGGTTTTGATCTTTGACAGTTCGGTTTTCAGTTTAACAAATAAGATAATGTTTATAAAACAAATATATGACTTTTCCAATGTGCAAGCCAAAGGCAACAGTCCATAACCAACCTAAATAGGCCCTCATAGAGCTGATACTAGGAGGACTTAACATATATGAACTAGTATGTGGGGTGTGCCAATTGATGATCACTATGAACAACCCCCTTTAAAAATGTATACTGGAGATATATGTCACAACTCAAATAACTAAACAACAAAAGGAAGGATGAACTAAAGATAAAGAAAATATGTAAGCAAAGAAATTACTACCATGGACAATGCAAATCAAGTAGATATAAAAAATGGCTACAAGCCATGTTATGGATTCATAAGTTAGCAACTAATGACACAAACATGCTTGGCAAAATTAAGAACATTTGGAAGATTCTACAGTTGGACAAAAATCATGTCCACTATAAAATTGATAAAGCATTAGTCAATGCAACTTGGCTGAATATGTGTCCTCAACACGAAGTGGTAGTAATAGAACCATTCTTTTCAAATCATTCATAACTATTTGTCAAGCTCAAGAAACTACAAGAAAGGCATCATATAACCTTTACATTTTTGAACCATCTAGCTGATCATCCCAGAGTTTATGATGTCATATGAGATTTTTGAGAATGCTATCAACTCTGAAAAGGTATTTTCTGGTCTATAAAGATGATTGGTTCAAGTTTTGAGGCTTCCATTTTTAGTTTTTGCCGTTAGGCATATTAACTTTGATGTTTTGGTAAAAATTTGACTTCAGTCAACTTTTTGGGTAAATGTACCCAAATGAGAATTTTGTTAGTGTAGTTAGCTCAGGAATGTCCTTTTTGATTTAGTAGAATTATTTGTTAGGATTTTGAGACTTTCATTTTGATGTTTTGACCAAAGTTTGACTTCAGTCAACATTCTTGGTAAACATGGTCGAATGAGAATTCAGTCAGCGTGGTTAGCTGTGGAAGGTCCTTCCTTGTCTAGTAGGATTGTTGGTTTGGGTTTCAAGACTTTCATTTTGAGTTTGTGCTTTACAAAATTTTAACTTTGAAGTTTTGGCAAAAGTTAGAGTTCGGTCAACAATCTTGATAAATGTGTCACGACCTCAAAATGGATGTGATGACACTTGTCTAATCATACCAAGATAAGTTAACCTTAACCCAACGAAACAAAAGAAATGTGGAAAGTAAAGCATGGATAAGATCAGAGCGGCAAACTTAGTCATTATAATCAATAACCCCAAAACTTGGTTGTCACGTGTACAGGCCACTAAAGCATAAAGTGTAAAATTGAAAGATAATAACAAGTCTCAATGCCATTGATTCTAGAATAGAACAAATCATGAATAAGAACAAGAGAACATTTGCCAAGATTACAACCATCTACCTCTGAAAGTACATTGACAAGCCTCAGAAATAGGAGAAGAAGAATAGTAATCATAAGGTACCAGACTCAAAACCTACACAAGTGAAAACAAAGCAGTGAGTACCAAACAACATGATACTTAACAACAAACCTAATAAACAAAGCAAAACTAGAAAGGAACGAGTGATCCTTTCATCCCAATTCCGGACCTCCTCAAACTAGAACCTACATAGAAATTAGTCCAGCCTAACTGTTCACAATACACAGTTCACAATTCCTCATAATCATAGTCTAATAGTCACAGATCAACAATTAACAAGTATTAAATATAACAATCACAAGTGTCAAGTAAATCAATGACAAGTATCGAATTAATCAAAACACATCAATCCAAGACTTGAGTCTTCCCCTTCCAGATTATATCTAATGCCCCACAATCTATTTCAATCAAGTAACCACATTAAGACCCCAAAAATATCAACTCTCAATTCATACAATTAGTCAAAAGGGTCAATCAACTTAAAACCCCTAAAAATCTGTACTTGAAAACATTACGCAAGGCATTTGAACACGTTGGTGAAAACCATTTCGAAAAAAAGTTATAAATCAGATCAAAATCACCATTTTACTATATTCTTGGGTTCATGAAGATAAACCCTATTTTTTTCATTTAAAAAACTTGATTTGGACACTTAAGTTGGTAAAGAATAATGTGTAATTAAAGATTAAAGGTTAGGAATTGTTACCCAAATAATTCTTCTCAAACATCTTGATAAAATTGCACAAAAAATCTCCCAAAACTCAAAAAAGGTGAAATGGGGTTGAAATCCCAATTTTTGAAAGATATTCTGTATAGGGGTCCTCCACGAATGCGGTGGATATCAAGTTAACCCTCTGTGAAAACGGAGACTTTCACGCGAACGTGGAGGTCGTGCTCAAGTCTCTCTGCGAACGCAGTCCAACTCCGCAATCGCGGGAAATACCAGAACATCAACAAAAAATAAGAATTCTCTAAGTCTCCAATTGGACAATCATGATTCTTTCACAACCCTGTACACTCAAACTATATAAGATACTAGATGTTCCAGACATAATGGAACCATCGAAATACGAATCTGAGGTTTCCTTGACCCTAAACTCGTGAGAGTCTCAGGAAATGAACATAATGCCTAAAAAGACAAAAACAAGCTCAAGACCTCTAAAAATTAAACTAAGACCTCACTTATGCCTAAAATCATCCCCCCAATCCATTAGATTTCTGAGAACTCTGATCCGAGCAGCCGAACCCATAATTTTGACCAAGTTAACCCAAAGGCTAAAATTCCTCAAATTTCAAACTTAGGACCTCAAATCCTCAAAAGGACTCCGAATAAAAAAACCGAAAAATCCCTGAGAAAAATTTCCACATTCCGGAATTAATGGAATCGAAGGATTTCCATCCCGACACTAGAAACTCCAAAAGACTTTGAAAATCAGTTTGTAAGCAACTACTTAAGCCTTTCAAAATCAAAACTTATACAATTCTCATCTTTTTGCTCAAGGTTTGAAACCAACTTTCAAAAACTTAACATAATTAACTCGAGGTCAATATTGGGAGGGGTACAATGATAATTATATGAAAATTT